CAACTTTTGTTGCCTGTAAAATCGCCTCATGTAAATTCCCTATTATTGTGCATTTCTACGGTGGAGAAAATTGGGGTGTTCACAGTTCGTTCCAAATAGTGTCTCAAAATGTAGACGTCTACATTTTAAGACGTTTTCTAACCGTAAAATCTGTGGTGTTGTTGTTTCCCATACAAAATTGGAAAACGACGCCGTCTACAATTTGTCACACTCAAAGGTATGTTTTTTACGCGTCTACATTTTGCAACCTCGCAGCAGGGTTGCATTATGGCAATACTAATCACATATATGAGCGAATTAAAAAGTGTATACAATTTATAGCCGAAAAGTACATTTTTTGTATAGATTTCGTACTGAAGGAACGATTTCATTTCCCAACACTGATACAGAATGTAAACAAACACAGGGTTGCAAGGAAAAAAAGTTGAACGAGCTCAAAGTTGGCTGGCGACCAACTTTGTTGAAAGCGATTAGTTGAAAGGCCGTTCGGACGAGGCGATTTTTGCTTTCAACTAAAAGTTGCCTGAAAAATCGCCACGTGCAAATGCCCTATAATTAACTACTACAAATATTTGGGGTGTTCACAGTTCGTTCCAAATTGTGTCTGAAAATGTAGACGTCTACATTTTGAGACATATTTAGCATCAAACTGTGAGCACCGCTTTCTAGCAGTCGTCGCAAAATCGTCTCAAAACTTTGCTGGTGTTGCCAGACATTTCTTCTTTGCGTGCTTTTTTATATGTCGCCTTTCGATTTTGTTTCTGAAAAATTGTAATTATTTAACTTAATTACCAATTCCTAATATTTGTTATTTCTTTTCCTTGATTTGTTTCTTTTCATCAGAAATTGCGCTCAAATTAAATGCAAATACAGAAAACGTGCCCAATAAATAAAAAAAATGCGATTAGTATTGCCATAATGCAACCCTGCTGCGAGGTTGCAAAATGTAGACGCGTAAAAAACATACCTTTGAGTGTGACAAAATGTAGACGGCGTCGTTTTCCAATTTTGTATGGGAAACAACAACACCACAGATTTTACGGTTAGAAAACGTCTTAAAATGTAGACGTCTACATTTTGAGACACTATTTGGAACGAACTGTGAACACCCCAATTTTCTCCACCGTAGAAATGCACAATAATAGGGAATTTACATGAGGCGATTTTTAGTTGAATGCATCAATCGCCTGGTGTAAACGGCCTTTCAACTAATCGCTTCAATGAAGTTGGTCAGCTGCCAACTTTCGTTCAAGTTTTGGTTCAACTAATCGCCTTTGAAGGTTGAATCATGTAAATTCCCTATAAACAACACATTAAACATCAACCAAAAGCAAAGTACAAGAAGCACATTCTGAGATGGCACCATCGATTGCAATTTGTGCAGCGCACCGATATAGAGCAGTGGTGAATTCTCAGTTCGCAGACACTTCACGTGTAAGGCCCAGGGATTTTTCGATTCCGGCACGGGCGAGGAGAATTCGGAGCAGAGTTGCCGGAAAGTGCTGCTGCGATGATGAAAAAATTGTGTATTCGGGGGTGTGTGCTGGTGCTTAGCCGGAGTATCCGGGTCGATTTGGTGAACGTAGAACCGACCATCGTGAAATCGCCGGTCTGTTGCAAACTATGCCGCCCCAGTGTGGCCAGCAGGCACGAGTGACACGCAGTGTAAAAACCTTCAGATTTTCCAAAACGCCGCTCTACGAACCGCGACAGGGTGTCTTCTTGTGTCTTCCGAACAACACTTACACGACGGGACTACAATGCTCCAGGTAAGGGATCACAATATGTTACTGTCAAACCAGTTCCTGCTAGGCTGTCACAGAACAACTCACCCTAACTACAGCCTGACACAGAGAATTGTACCACCAAGACACGTAACAGAGACCCCTCAGTCACCTAGAAGCAGACATCGACCAACAACTTCACTTGCCACTCAGCCGCGAGGCATACGTTGAGGGAATCAATAACCTTCATCGCGAAGCAGTCATCTCCGCAACACAAGGACGCCACGAAAACATAGTCCTCGGTGGCCGGCCGCCTCCCATCTATTTGAGCGAATTCCAACTACCGCGCGAAACAAGAACCACACTGGCGCAACTCAGATCTGGCTGGTGCAGCCGCTTAAACTCTTACAGAACCAGATTAGGCCCAGAGATCGCTGACACCTGCCCAGCATGCGGAACTGGTCCACACAACACCGCACACTTGTTCGCATGCCCTACATATCCCACTCATCTGACACCCGAAGCGCTGTGGACTCAACCTATTGAGACTGCTCGCTTCCTGGGCCTAAGGTTGGAGGAGTCAGATGGGGAATACGAAGATGAATAAATAACCAACCAATTCTGGGACTACGTGCTGCTAACACAACAACAACAAAGAACAAGAAGCAGAGATGCAAAGTGAGTCACAAATGTGGCGTTTAAACAGGTTGATTCGCCGTTCATAATTGAGAGAGCGAACCACGCGATTCGGTTACGTGGAAACGCCGTTTAAAGAGCACTACTACCGATATTTCCGATGCATCGATATTTTTCCGACATTTCTAGTTATTCTAGTTAAAATTGTGGTTTGAGTGGTGTTACAGCTTCGTATATATTTGTGACCAAAGTTACCTTAAATTGAACAATGCCGCTTTTAATCAAAGATTTGGTAAGTAAAAGTAAACTTGGGCCATGGTGGCGGTGTGTAGAATTTAGAACGTGTGAAAACAGCGTTTGATAAATAGGATGTATGCAAGTATGACATCATCGTCCTCTGTGTATTTTTCGATTACTATGGTCTTTGAAATAAATCAACGCATAGAATAATGGTGCGGTTAAACGTGGGGGTGGGCTTTAGTAGTCAGCCACACCTTGTGTTTTACGAAAACCAGGTGGAATTAACAAATGAAACTTGGTCAGGATGTTAAGGGAGGTATCCTCTAAAACATGTATAACTAAAAAATATAAATAATATCATTGTTTATAAGTTATTTGTTGTTAAAATTTCTTAAGTCGTTCCACTTGGTTTCCTTAACAAAAAAGCATTTGTGCATACTTTTATATATATAAATGCACATAACACTGTACTTAATACTTTACACACTTTTCTTTTATTTTATCTTGTATATAAATCACTTTAATTAAACTTTTATCGACTTGTAAATTACATTGAATTTCACGCATATTTACAATAACACATGGTTGCAAACTGACACATAACATGTGTTGCCATATTGTACAAAACAAT